AATCTACCATTCCGTAGCACTTGAGTCTGTTTGTGACTTGGTAGGCGACTTAGGCCCTTCGTTCTTTCAGACTGAGATTTCCCTTTTGAGTAAAAAAAGTCTGAAGAAGGGACCGTACTCATTTATGGTAGAATTTTATCATTTACCAGATAGCAAAAGGGTTTACATGAACTTTACGTAGATCGCTTCAAGTCACGCTTTTTTTAAAGATTTGTTTGAAGTTTAGGCCGATACACACGAGGAAATTACCCTGTATTTGATATCTTTCCACGGAATGCAAATTTAGTTTTTTGTAGCTGTCTGATAGGCCTCAATGCAGAGATACTTTTCCGTGTTCCAGGCTTAAAGTTGAACATGTTTTGTCCACTTGTCACGTGGTCTTGATGCCGCCGGATCTGTGCCTCTTGCTGGTTCCTCAGACACGCCTTTTTCAACTTTGCAAGATTTGTATTGAACTTGTTCCCAAAGGCAAAAGGACATTGTATTTATCCAGGTTACTATTAGAACAATACCACGTGATCAAATGTTACACAGTAGTATGGGACAGAGAGAATACATAACCATTGACAGATACGTTCATTGATCAAATATATGACTAACTGATACAAGTTTCGTAGTACGCGATTCGTTTAAAAATCGTGATACCGATTCAGTTATTACAATGGTATTTAGGGAGGCCTTTCAAAGCATGTAAGAGGGAGTAAATTACACATCAATCGATAATGAGTGAAAATTTTCTACTGAAGTAACATAGTAGTGAAAATTATCATCCCAATTGGTTTACTGGTTTCTCGAACATTCATGATCTCAATTTCTGATCACAAAATTTAGCAGTAATTTTTCCATCAAGATTGCGTTTATTTCATTTCAGTAACAAGACGCACGGTGAGGAACTGGCAATTGAAATACAGATCAGGCAGACTTCAGTTCGATCAAGGCTTCATTCGAATACAAATTGCTGGATTTTATTTCGTGTACTCGCAGATGTTTTACCACGACGGTTTACCATACCAAGTCAGCCATCAATTGTTCGTCAACTCGGAAAAATTCATGGAAAGCACATCTGCCGTTATTAGCGAGGACCGAAAATATAACACAAACTACAACGGCGGTGTGGTGTTTCTAAACAGCACTGACACCGTTTCAATCCAAACTCCCTTTTCAAATCACTATTTCATGAATCCCAGTTCGAGTTATTTTGGCGCATTTTTACTCCATGCTACTGTTCCTTGACCCACGGATAATGTTTTCTCGGTACAGACAGCTACAATTCCATCATGTTTGGGCAGCGTCAATACCCTTATAGGCAACATTTATATCTTTCTGAAATTTTCTGTGACGAGAAACGTAGAAAGTTTGAAGAAACTGTCTACATTCAGCTGGTCACGACTCAGTGTGGTTTTCGCTAATTTTGATTGATCTTTTTGTAACCTATCTGCGAGATATCGTAGTTACACCTAAAGGAGAAACTTCACGTGTATAATACTAAAGATTCAAGATTAAAGACCACTCGTCTATAACTGTAACACTGTTCCTTGTCATGTCAAATCCATAGAATTTTTAGGAAATTTGTTGGTGTGTAGCTGTTTTTCAACCGGTGCAAACGTTATTCCTTTTAAGGCTTGATTGCTGCGTTCTCTAACGCAGAAATTGTCTTAGTTAATAGTTCATTCCTGAATTTTTCGTTAACACAACACTTAACGGCCTATTACGAATGTTTCGTGGACTCGCCTTGTCTCAAAAGATGGTGTAAGTTAGGTTCTTGTCAGTATAGCTTACATAAAGTCCTTTGATATTCAAAGGTATTTGTATTATATTGCTTGCATTTTAGTATCACTTATTTTTTTTCAAGGAAGGAAATTGACTGCTATGCAAGTTCACTTTTGATATTGTTGATTGGACGACTATACCCAGTATTGTTTCGGTACCTTTGATTTGGCTCGTTGGATTTTTAGAACTTATGGAGGTGTGCCAATCTCTCAATAGTGCTAGGTGCGATACCATGTTTTACATCATTTTGCTTAATACGTTTCTTAAACGGAAGAAAGCCCAGCCTATAGTTTTAAACTGATAAGCGAAAGTAAGAAAAGGATGAACATCACCAAAAGGAATGCAAATGGTAAAGTTTCAAGAACATGAACCCAGTTTATAACTAACAAAAATGAAACTTAGGCAAATTCAGTCAAGATGCGCAAGTATCTTACATGAATTTCACCTTACCATTGTGTTAAAATACTGAGTCAAATATTTTTTAAGTTTTTCGGTAATCATTGTTTTGGTTATATGTTTTTATTAAATATTTGCTGGAATCGAAATAAAGTAAGCTTTTACTTACGTTCTGCCTACATGAATTTATAACATATACCCCTTCCACCTTCTTGCATACAATAAACTAAGCTCATGCGCTTCAAATTCAAGTTATATAAATCCTAGGAGAGATGCAAAATAGTGCGATGTATATCTCTGTGGTACTGCCGTGTGTGTACATTTTTTTTAATTTTGTAGTTTCAGTTGATGAAACAATTATCACGCGCCTTTTCAAAGTTCATTATATTTATTTCAAGAGAGGGATTTCCCCCGAGAAGTAGTGCTTAAGGCTGGTGTCTGATTGGCACTTGAGGCCAGACCAGTTGACTCCCAAAATCTAAGCATAAATTCTCCAAACTGTGTGCCATACATTTCCCACAATCTTAGATCTGAGAGTTTGGAGCTAAATCTGGCAATATCCCCTTGTTGCCATCTTTCTTTTTCTCTCAATACCTTTCTGTACGAAAGTATCGATATCGTAAGGAGAAATCAATTTTCGATCATTCCAGGAACACAAAATAAGACTAGCGTCTCCTGTCTTCACTTTCTAATTTGGAGTTAAGAAGAAAACCAGCAGCTATTTGCATTTTCTTCGTAATCTTTCGAGTTTAACCATCATCGATAACAGAATGTGTCACATAATCATTTATTTTCCTTTTGCTTATATATATGTGCGTTTTCTGTTTTTTTTATCACAAGTTTCCCATGAGTGACCTATGTTTAACGCGATATTCTTGCCAAGATAAACTTTGTATATTCCAATTATGTTTTGGTCAGCCTGAAGCAAAGTAACATTTCATTGAGAGAAAATTTGTAACTAATCCAGCAGAACTGGAGACATATTCGTTGTTACCTGATAATTATTTCAAGTTTTGCTACCGCAAGGAATAAGGTTTCTTCTTTTTGCATAAAAATTTTAACCATCTGTTGACGTTCTACAAACTAGCGGAGTAAGGGAACAAAGAGAAGAGCGGGAAGAGGGAGGGGAGACACAGTAGACTTGTGACGTCATTGTGCCAAAATTTACTGTGATTGTTTTTTACACAGCAAGTATTCTTATAACCAACTGGGTTGTACGTAATAAGTTGGGCTATATTCACTACGACAGAGGCTTCATTACAGTCGTCAAAGCCGGACATTACTTCATATACAGCCAAATGTATTATCACGATGCTCGGACTAATGTGATGGCTCACCACACATACATCAACGATGAAAGGGTTTTGGAAAGTGTGGGGAGCGCTCTTACCGACAAGACGAAGTTTAGTACCAAATACCACGGTGGAATGTTTCTGCTCAAAGCCAACGACACCATCTCTGTTCGTATACCGTACGTTCGACATTACAGCATGAAATCTGGTGCCAGTTTCTTTGGAGCGTTCTTGTTGTATTCTGGTGAATCGAACTGATTTAACTGAAGGATAGGATGTCCCGAATGACGATAGACTTCCTCAAAGCTTTCATTACTTTATCATACAGATATTAACATTGCTGCTGATCTGTGGGCATTTTCACTTATTATGTGTTTAGTGTCTTGTCTTTGTATTTGCTAGTGTCCAGATTGGTGGAAAATGGATTAAAATTTGTGTTCTCAGTCAAATAATTGGAATGTATATCACAATACAGTCACAAACTACCATAATACTTAAAAATTCCGTCCAACCTGCCACTAATCCTACTTCAAATCAGCTCTTTATTTAAAAGCTTACCATGTTCCGTGTTATACAACAATTCCTTTTGTGGATTTTCTGACCATTTCCTAAAAAAAAATATTTTTAAAAAACCTGCTTTCAATACAGTATCAACGTGTGAGTGAGGTAAAATAACTGAAACTACTAGATAAGTCTACGGTCTAATTTCTGCTTTCAGCGGTCCATTGGTATCTAAGCTTGGAATACTCGATTTCATTCACCAATCGTACATATAGCTGTTACAAAGGCGTCGTGCACAAAAATGACTAGGCCTCATTTGGTCGAAAGTTTAGGTCAGGGGCCTAAGCGCAGAATGAACTATTTGATATTGTTGTTGTTGAAGCTCTCATTCGAGAACGTAGCGAATTTTGTGTATGATTCAGGTGTAGGAGGTCACTCTATGTCACGCCCGTATCAATATTGTGTGACTTATGTCACAATCTTCCCATTGGCTTATCAGCAATGCGTTCATCCTGTTTTATCGCCGGCTCTTATACATTCTTGTATACATTATTCGATTTTTTTCTTTATTGTCATTATTTTTGTATTTTGCGGTATTCCGGCTTGTTCAGGTCTTCCTGCCTGTTTCAGTGTTCCTACTGGTTTTGGTTTTCAGGCTTGTCTGGGTCTTCTGTCGTGTTCCGGTATTCCGGCGTGATTTTGAAACACTCATATCTCATGAGGGATTTTGTATTTGTTTGCTAGCTAATTGTTGTTACAACAACAACGTCAAACACAAGAGTGCTGTGTTCTTATCGACCAATTGCTGTCCTTGTGGAATGATGGTGCAAAATTGAGCCTGAAAATTTGATCGTGGAAACTTTTCAGCGCGCGAAACAAACCGTTTTCAAAGGGCTTACCGTGGAATGCGGATGTTTTAATTTTGCAGTGAATTCATGAACAAATAAATTCCCTCATCTTCTGTAACATTAGCAAAACTCTCTCTCCTAACTTGAATCAACTTTAAAAGAAGACTTCCACCGTATTGGAAGCACCGCCATTCCCCAGTTCTAGCAGATAATATTCGGTTCTAAACCAATAGCGCCCGAGCGAAAATATTTGATAGATTTTAAGACTCAAGATTATGCGATCGTAAACTTTTCTCATAAACTTCTAATCTTTTAGATTAGGTTTTCTGAGATTTTGACCGATATTGAAAAGCTTTCAGCGTAAATCACGCAAAAATCATTCACACTAAGACTTTGCTTATAATACCCCTATTTCATCTGAAACATGTCCTGATCGATGGGACTACCCATATTTGGCCAGAGGGGCAAATGTTGACGGAAATAGTAATGCGTTTCATATACAATTGGGGACACCGATGTGTCAGGCTCATTTTGAGAGCAGCCTGGGTTATGGTAAATAAAAGTAAGTTAACGTTGACACAATGAGAATCTATTTCGATGGCACAAACGGACATTCTTCCAGGTTTTAAAGGACCCATGTTATCATCACCACACCCAGCCATCATAAGTCAATCCTTCCTTCCTTCTTTTGTGAACCGACACTGAAATAGAACTCTTAAAAAAATTGATATTAATCCTCCAAGCGAGGAAGACGAACAAATTTCCTTATCTGTGGAATACGATATGGCCTTTCATTGAAACTATCTATGGAAACAGCAGGGTATATAACTTGTGTAGTACGGCTACCGCTCATTCACTTCATCTACCCGCCCTGGTCAGATTATCGCAGCTCAGAATGGAGAATCCACAGAATACGAAGAGGGGCTCTTCTCGTCAGACACCAGCTCGGTTGATTTATTTCTGTGTTTTCTTGTCAATCGTTGTTTGTCTTTCTTTTGCATTAAGTTTCTACTCTTTTAAGCGCGTGTTGTCGCTCGATAAAGAATTCCATTCGATAAACGAGCTGAAAGTCACGGGAGAAGACCACTATTCCAGCTCGGATAGTAAGGTGACTGAGGGAAAGGTAAGTGAATTGTTGATAAGAGCTTGAAACCAAAAATTCCTCAATTCACTGATCTGAGGGTTTCCTAAAAGAAAATAAGTTTGGAAAAACTGTACGCAGTATCTGAAGTCTGGACGATCACAAGTATGAGAGAGAACATGAAGGTGATAAAATTAGATTTGTAGAGAACTGCGTCTTAAAAGTTGCTACGTGTTGGTAATAAAGGGATTTGTCGGAGGCCAAGATATACAGGGGAAACTGTTGAAATTATTACCAAAGAATTATCGTCGAGTTTTATTTCCTGTTCTAGATGGGTTTTAATTTTTTATCTGAATTGTTTCACGATGATTTTGCGATTGTCCTCAATATAAGAGACATAACATAATTTTAGTTCAACAAGATAAATCACACATAAACAAGGAAAACCAATCAGACTGCACAAGGATGGTTACGGTTACAGAATTGAGATGAGGTGGACATGTAAATGAATGATTATCGAGCTTCCTATCGTAATGAAGCAATTTTTATCATATCTACAGAAGAAAATCATGTAGTTATTCCCATTCAAGTCTACTATGAACTTATTGTTTGTGTCGAAACGCAGTTTCTTCTCCATGCCTACTGAGTCTTTGCTCTTTTTGATATCTTTGTCAGGAGGTGAATAAACACGGTAGCAGGAAACGTCGCAACTCTACCTCTTACAAGGTAAACGATTTAAATCCAAATTTCGCTTAAAAATAGTTTTGTTCATCATTTCTGTGGCAAGATATGTTTGTTTTCTTTTCGTAGACTCCCGATAACATCCTGCTCTATGGCAATGGAGATACAAGTATCCTGCCAGGTAAGTTATGTCAAATAAACTATATCTCGATAAATATTGTTAGGTGTACTCAACTTTTAGTCAAGAAAAGGGGAAAATTCATGCTAATATATGGTAAAGACAAACCAGCCTTTCCCCAAATGTTACTAGGAAACCTTACGAATAGGAAATCCTTCTTAATTCCCTTAATGATTTGTGCCTGTCTCAAAAGGATTTATCACATTCAGGTTTAATCATGAAGACAGCAATAGAGACTACTATCATACCCATTACGTAATTTTTTTTGTAATTCAAGAAACGCATGCCATCACGAAATGGACCGAGGCAAACAAAAATGGACGCAACATAGTTTATCATTCCAGTGTAGGCCTCGTCGAGGTGATGAGAGATGGACTGTACTTCATTTACAGCCAAATGTGCTTTTCTGGAAACAGAAATCAGGACATGGCCGGCCATCGCACTTTTATCAACTTCGAAGAAAAGATGACAACCGTGATTGACCGACAAAACACAACAGTGGCCTGTCGCTATCATGGCGGCGCTTTTTATCTGAATGCGAATGACAAAATCGCCGTGAAGCCAACAGCGACTGGTCAATACTACATGTCAGAAAAGGGCTCATTTCTCGGAGTCTTCCTTATCTAGAACCACCCGAAAACGTCAGGTTATTTTTCTCTACTGAGAACTGTCCCAGATTTTGTTGTTTGAAAACTCGTTAACGCGCGTTAAAACCTTAACAACGATAAGCATTTCAGATGTCATTAGTGCAACACAGTATTAAAAAGAGCAGAAAATAAGCCTGTAGTTCTTTCTTGCGGTCACTTCTTTCTGTTAGACACCATGATGTGATATTCTACTTCTAATGCAATAGCACCATAAGCAGAATAAAAACATGTATAACCAAACGACCGGTAATACATTTAGGAGGAGTTTAATTTCCTTACGACTCGACCGAACTCTTCTATTTACATGTCATTGCCAGTAGTTTCTTAATAAAGTATTACGAACAAGATACATTAAGAACGAAACAACTAATTACAAGATTGGAAATAACAAAGGAAATACGAATAACAGGAAATACGAATAACAGGGAATACGAATAACAGGGAATACGAATAACAGGAAATACGAATAACAGGGAATACGAATAACAGGATATACGAATAACAGGAAATACTAGTAACGAAATAAATACGAGACACTCGACGACAGGGCAATTTACGGGACGATTTTGGAATATAGCTGGCATAAGAACGTACTCGCCATTAAATTTGAACTCGCACTCACACCTTTTATTTGCATGATCCGCGCGAAAGTCAATCTCATGATGAATAGCCGCGCGGACTGGGGCTAGGAGGGGATTGGTTTCTACGAAATGTGTACATTTTGCTCAAGTTTATCTTTGGTTCTAAGCAAAATTACAAACAAGACGACATTAAGAAATATTTAGAGGAATTTGAGCATGCGCCCCTGCCGTCAAAGAAGACTGAGGAAAGTTGCCATAAAGTGATACTCCACACGTGTTAGCTTGTAAAGAGCAGAATGTTGAGTGCTTACCTTCAACGGCGGATTCAACCCGCTCAGTTGCGTCCCAGATTTTTTAAACATGTTTCACTCAAGCTTTTACCACTTTCTCACCAAATCTGTAATGAATAAAGATGCATGGCACTTTCAGTTAAGTTAAATCGTAGTGAGCTAAATTCTTATTTTTCAAAACTATACTAGTCACCATCTTCCACAGTTCAACGTCAAATCTGTTAGTTTTAGTTAGTATTCAAAGTGGAATTATAGATCATTTACGGATGTTTTGAAATAAGAGACTCTAATATTGGGGGCTCTTAACGATAAAATGACCTTTCCCATTTCCTCTAAATTCCCTGCGATAAACAAACACAGGAACTCTGGTAACTCAGGGGAGGAAATATGCAAATGTCTAATTCAGGGACATGCCGGCTAAGTTCGACTACGCCAGAAACCTGAAATTTTTTATATGGTCTCTGATGCACAGCAGGCCATGTGTTGGGCCGAAATGGAAATGAAAAAACAAAATTCGGGACTGTATGGGTCATCCGACTTTTACGCTTGTCGAGTTTGACCAGAATTCCGGCCGTTTGAAAAGTAAATGTGTTTTTACTTCCCATTGATAACTGTCCCTGAATTGCTCAGAAACTGAAAGAGGAATATCTATCGAAAAGCGCCCTTTGCCTTCGTTCAAAACTTCCGAAATTGGCAGCCAGCCCTTTCTTTCACTTTTTTATTCAGTGGTTTTGATTCCTTTTAATAGAACATACTGTAATACTCTAGAAATAATAATGCGTATCATGAGCTTTTTATTGTATTTTGTATTTCACATTATTAATTCAATTGATGAAACCAGTTTATTGTGTAATATCCCCATCGACGCAGCACCACAGTTTCTTTAGAAACTTACCCCCTGAAATATTTGGGTTGATTCCCGGCACTGTTACTTTATTTGAGGTCTGATAAGATGCTATTTCAAATCCAATTAAGATATTTTGATTTTTCCCTGCAAAGGCCAAAAGTGTAAGACAGGTTTTCGTTTCAGACGGAAAAAGTGGAAATAATTATAAATAAACCTCGTTTTAATCATCAATGCATTACTCACTGGGGACTCCGACTCATTTTGAAAGTATAACAGAGTATAGTAGAGAGATAAAATCAACAATTTTATGGTGAGAATCGATTTTGATCGCACATATCAACATTCTTTTAGATTTCAAAAGACTTGTCTTATTAACGCCGCAACCATTCTACCGTGATAATCTTTCCTTCCTTACTACATAGTTTCTACACAGTGGAAACTGATATTACCGGTAATTATTGAATGGAACGATTAGAGAACAGAAACTCAGGAAGACACGAAAAAAAAAGTTCCCTAAAGCTGTTTCCCTCTGAATCGAAATCGTTCATCTATTTATCTATTTTTGTCACTTATGGTTTGACAAAGGAAAGCGATAATAGCCTTTAATTGAAACTGTCTGGGGAAACAGCAGGGTATATAACTAGTACAGTGCGACGGCTACCGCTCATTCACTTCATCCACCCGCCCTGGTCAGATTATCGCAGTTCAGAATGGAGAATCCACAGAATACGAAGAGGGGCTCTTCTCCTCAGACACCAGCTCGGTTGATCTATTTCTGCGTTTTCTTGTCAATCGTTGTTTGTCTATCTTTTGTATTAAGCGTGTACTCTTTCAAGCGCGTGTTGTCGCTTGATAAAGAATTTCACTCAAGAACTGAGTTGAAAGCTAAAGAAGAAGAACAAGTCGCCAGTTCAGATAGAAACGTGGCTGAAGGAAAGGTTAGTAAATAGTTTGCCTTGTCAAAACTGAGTCAATTTCTTCTTAAGTGGCCACCGTAAGATTTTTAAATCAAAGAATCGCTTTAACTTCCTGATCTAAGAGTTTCCAGAGATTTAAACGAAATGGGAAAAAAATCTGAATGCAGTTGTTAAAAATCTCGACGACCACGAGCATGTAAAAGAATACCTAAGTGCAAAGTTAGATTTTTAGAGAACTGCCTCTAAACTGTTACCACGTGTTTGTAAGAATCTCAGTGTAAGACGTTTAAAAATACAAACGCAAACTTGTTGAAATTATCTTTAAAAAATCATCGTAGCATACTTTTTCCTCTTATGAATTGGGTTCAATTTTTTTTAACTGAACCAAGGCAAGATAAATATGATTTCCCTCAAAAATAAAGAAATTACTCAATGTTAGTTCTCCAACCGGAAGGAACACACCCAAATTAGTAGAACATACTAAATTGAAAAAAACAAGGTTGAAGTTGGAAAAGATGAAAAGGAAATGTAAATGGTCAGTTGCAAGCTTCCTTCGTACTAAAATAAATATATTTTTGTCAAATCTATTGAAGAAAATCGCAATAGTTCTTCTAAATTAAGCCGTTTATTAACTTGTGTAGAAAACGCGATTTGCTCGCATAGCTAAAAGAATCTTTGCTCTTAATATTTTTGTCGTCAGGAGGTGGATAAATACGGCAGCAGGAAACATCGCTCTCGTAAGTCAAAACCTATATAATACATGTTTCATAGCTGCAGTTTTTCGAGCATCTTAACGTTCTCTGTTTAGTTTCACTTCCTGTTCTATTATTGATTTTTTAAGGTAGGAATCTTCGATTCGCCTAGTTTTGTTGAGCTTTTTCGCATGAATTACTGTCCTTGACAGTACTCTTGACTGTATATAATTGCGCAATACTGATTTTTTCAATGTTCACCATCCTTACTTACACAGAACTCCCAGGCGAACGACAATCCTTGGTAAGCACGAAAGCTTAGTGCATGCAGTTCATTCCTTTGGATGAATTGGGAAGCCCGAAATGATTAGATAAAACATTAGTTAACAAAGTGTTGATATTACAGTCTAATATTTTTACTTTAAACATGATTTAGTCACCTTAACGGTTGTTGTTTGGCCCTGGAACTCAACGCGTCCTAGGGATTAATCAAAGGCGGCTGAGGGGGCTGGTGACTGATCAAGCCAAGTCGGATCGAGTATCGTAGCGGAATTTGGCCAGCTCTGCTTTTTTACGTAATTGTGTTTTCTTTTCAAATGCCAGAGGTGAAGGTGTTATTGAAATTAACAGGGTAATTAAGTAATATTAACTGAGTTGATAACGTAAATAGAAGAAACTAGGAGCTAGTTTTAGAGGCTAACGCTCGAAACGTCAGCTTTTAAACTCTTTACGGTGGCCAATTTACGTGATCAACTCAGTTGATATTACTTAATCACCCTGTCAATTTCAATAACACCTTCACCTCTGTTATACTCTCCCACCAACGCAGCACCACAGTATCTATAGAAACTTACCCCCTCTATTCATTTGTTATTGAAATTCGATCAATGACGATAAATGTAAATTCCTTTCACAAGGAAAAAAAACAAAGGTTTACAAGCCTGCCTTTCACAGTACAAACGATTTGGTAGAGTTTTAGATCTCACAGTACTTAAGGAAATTTCAATCCAACTTTTATTTATATCATTCTGTGTCGTTTTTAACGTCTCTTTGTTTTGTTTTTGTAGATTCCTGAAAGCATACTTCTTTATGGCAATGGAAAAAGATATGCACTGCAGAGTAAGTAATCTCTGAAATATTTGTTTGACGGAAAATCGTTAAAGACATACCGAAGAACGGATGCTAAGTAGGTTGGTAAATTTATCCTGTAAATGCCGCACAACCGTACCTCGAAAAAGAAGAAGTTGGGCAAACGAGGGTTACTGGATTCAAGTGACTGACTCTCTTGTCGGAAAAAAAAAAAGATAATTCATATAAATATTAATACTTCCCCCTTGCTTACCCTTAATAATAAAAGATCCTAGCCATTTCCATTCAAGAATTGTATCTGCGCATACCTCAGAAAGGAATTGTGACAGTTAAATTTGCCTGCGTGTAAAAGATTAAGGACCAGTGTCATACTGACTGTGTGACTTTCTTTCTGTAATTTAAGAAACGGATGTCGTCACGCAATGGACCAAGGCAAACAAAAATGGAAACAAGATTGCTTATCGTTCCAGTGTAGGCCGCGTCGAGGTGATGAGAGATGGGCTGTACTTCATTTACAGCCAAATGTGCTTTTCTGGAAACAGAAATCAGGACACGGCTGGCCATCGCATTTTTATAAACCACGAAGAAAAGATGACAACCGTGATTGGCCGACAAGACACAACAGTGGCCTGTCGCTATCATGGCGGCGCCTTTTATCTGCGTGCGCACGACACAATCGCCGTGAAGCCAACAGCGACTGGTCAATACTACATGTCAGCGAAGGGCTCGTTTTTGGGGGTCTTCCTCATCTAGAGTACCGCGAAAATCATCTAGTCTCTTTTCTCTAATTAGAGTTTACGTTTGCCTTGATTTTAGCAAGTGTTAAAATATTAAGAACGACTAGCATGTAAGGTGTTATATATGTAGTTCTTAATTGCGGTCACTTCTTTCCCAAAGCTGTTAAACACCATGTTATCATTAGCAACTTCTAATGCAATAGCACAATAAGAAAATAAAAACATTTGAAGGTTTTGTGGAAGTTCACCTGTGCCTCATGCCAATTTACTAATTAGACAACATTACAAATGAAGTATTTATGGTGATTTTAGCGAGCGTCCCTACCATTGAAAAATGCAAGGAAAGTTTGCAGGTAACGACACTCTAGGATTACTAACTAGACAACCCAAACCGAAGTTAATTTCGGACTTTCATCAAATTTCTCAGCCGGGAATAACATGTGTAAACGACCCCATCTGTTACATGTGGGTCAGATCAGGGTTATTCTATTTTAGTTTATCTCCAAAGCTAGCAGAATGCGATTCCATAAGTGACCCCTCCGAAGGTGAAAACTGATCGAACCTTTTTGATTATCAAACGTCGCAACTATAAAATATTCTGTCTTTTAATCAATACAGTACTCTCCCTAAACAAAGTTTAACATTCTTGGATTTAAAAGATTTTAAAATAATCGTTATTTCTCGCCTTCATGTCATTCCTACTGTCCATTTCCTTACTTGTTTTCCAACTTTCTTAGCTAATATCAGCCTGACAAGGGATTTCTTTCCCACACTAGTAGTTTGAATATCTAAAGTCCAGCCGACCTAGGACAGTAAGCTCAGACCATTGTTTGTAACAGCAAGAATGTTGAATATTTACCTCCAACAGTGACTTTAAACCGCTCTATTGCCTTCCATCACCACAACAACTTTACAACCGCGTGTCGTCCAAGCCACTAAGACTTTGTCATAAAACCTGCAGAAATAAAGACGCATGGCGCATTAAGGTTTAAGCGTCGTAAACCAAATTTTGTAAGTTTTCTAATCAAACAGGTCACCACCATTCCTTAGCTTAACATCAAATCTGTCAATTAAATTTGTATTCAAAGTAGAATAAAAGACCATTTTTATTCAGCTGGCTATTACGGGATTTTCAATTAAATAAAAACGTTTTAACATAGGAGCCATTGATGGAGGCTCCTGACGATGTTCTGACCTCTCCTACTCTCCTATGTCCCTTTATTTCCACGCAATAAACAAACATAAGAACTGGTAAACGCAAGGAGTTTGGAAATTATCTTATTTGTCGTTAGATTTTATTCTTGGTAGAAACCTTAAATTAAATTTTCGCATTTCTCAAGGCATTTTGTCACAATGAGCGTCAAAATGTCAATGCGGGAATCGGCCCATAATGAAATAATGTACCCCCCCCCCCCCCCCCCATCTATGCCCTTCCTATGACCTTTCTCTATTGCTTTAATTTTCACACGATAAACAAACATAGGAACTTGCAAACGTAGCCAATTTGGACATTATCTTTTTTCGCCGTAGCTTTTTCTTTTTTAGTTGAGAGGGGACCTCAAAATGCTACTACGTGTAAACTGTCTAAAGGACATATACAACCTGTTCTTGAGGGCAGAATAACTTGTTTTTATGTGTCGAGTCAAGTTTTAGCTATGAAGGTATGATCAAAATTTTGGAAAAATGCGGCGAGACAAATAGAGTAGTCGGTTCTCCCTATCAAACCTTCGGCTTCCGATTTCGCAGCCGAATTTTCAAAGAACTGGGTATCAGTGAACTTGTTACTGACTAAGCTGAGCCACTGTACAGAAATCAACATGAATCTTAAAATAAGGGCAAGTAAGGGATTTATGATGAAATCATCGCGAGATTATTTACACTGCAAATGATAAAAAGATAAACAATGGTTCTTATTATATTGGACTACGTCTTATCGTGAAGTCATCCTTCTTCGTAATTAAACATCTTTTCACAACAGAATGAAAATTTACCAATATTTAGCCATAAATTGTAGTTTACGTAGAAACATCTATCTCCATGTCAATTTCACGACCACAATAAGAAAAAGGTGATCGAAATTCTTCCTGTAAGATAAGACCACTAAAAGGAATAAGAAATGATCAACTGGCTTATTTTTTACTGAACGGCTTATGCTAATATATTATTTCCATTCATTTTTAACATTCAAATAAGTCAAAAAACACCTATAATGAAAATTCTTGCTCGATACCAATTTTGTCTTTTAACAATATGCTTATGAAAACTTCACAAGTCTATATGGTAATAAATATTTTCTGCAATAGAATGCTTTCTGAAATAGAGCTTACGACTGTAATTTGATTCTACAAATTACTTTGTACGTTGTTCACACGCAGTTTGTTCTGTGTCTGTTATTAATGAAGACACCCTTATTTTAAGAGTTCGGGCATGCTGAGTGAGTGACCCCTAGTAACGAAAAAATTCCTTCAAGGTCTTTGCAACAGTCTCGTAAGGGGAACTCAAGTTGTAGAACTTGAAAGAGCTAAAATGAGTGAGAGGACCCATATATGGGTATCATTCTTTTTAAGAAAATAAATCGATTTTGAGGGAAATTACTGAACTCCGCTTATTTTCCGAAGGGCAACGGTCGGTAGGGAGCAGACCAGAAAAAACATATTAAATATTCTGCTTTCTGGTAATGAAGGCAGAAATGTAATAACTTCTCTAATTATTTGGCTACGCATTTTATGGTTATCGCGTTATCGGTTTCGCTTCAAAGCTTTTTATGACTAAGAGAGTTTTTGTATATAGAGCTGCCTTCAGATTCATTTTACAGTTAAGTCACCTCTGTAATTTTTCACTGTTGTATGAAAACACCACTCTTTACAGACACGTTTATTTCTTTCCAGAAATATTTCTTGCAT